CTGACTATGGAGATTATCATGGACTCCGGGCAAGGTGCATTCCTCTAGTTCTTCCTGCCAATATGACCAAATTGCGCAAACAAGGTCCAATAACTTCTATAAAAACGTTAGTTCGTGAGAATAAGATTTTGGCTCATCCTCCTGCGTCCTCGATGAAACCAATCAATCATGTGGCAGACATCGCCAGACCGAGAAATCAGTATTTACGAAAAAAACGCAACACAAAAAAGCCGCGAAAATTAAAAGGGTTTCGATTAATCTCCTGAGATAACATTGTTAGAGAGACTTTGACTTCCTAAGAAAGTATATAAAGAAGAGATTCGAATGTCGATCTCACCAGAAGAGGACGGCTGAATTCCGTTGTACTGCAGCCGTTTGGCTTTAATACGACGATCAGGTAGACGCAGGCCACAAAACATCCTCCCTCGTTTCGAGTAAAAACGGGCTGAACATTCGTCCATTATATGATGGACATCATCAGAGCTGGGTGTCATTCTTGTAAAAGTCTCACATTAACACTAGGGCAAGAACACTATCCGGCTTTATCTTACCTTTTTTTTAGACTCAATGAAGCGAAAGAAAATAAAAAAACCTAGATGGATATATAATGATTTGGCTAATTATCTTCATATTGGTTCTGCTACCTATGCTCGAATGTGTGTGTGTATGTATTAACGTCGATACTTTTTCAAGAATAACTGTCAGCTCTGATGATGTACGAAAGCTTAGCCCGGTTTCACCCGAAGCGAGAAAGGATGTTTCGTGAACTGCATCAACCTGAACGGCTTGTTAAAAGCAAAGGGTTTCAGTACAACCGGAATCAGCTGTCACCTTCTGGTGAGACCGACCTTAAAATCTCTTCTTCATGCACTTTCGTACGAACTGAAAGTCTCTTCAGCAATGAAAGGGATGGTCGGATGCAATTATACTTATTTCATACACCTAATTTTGCTATATTAATGAAACTTCCCATTTTGAATGTCAACATTGTACAGTTGAAGTGAAGAAAGTGGATATGATCAGACCTTGAATGACTTTACACTACATACACACAATACATATACACAATACCACAATACACCATAATCACGAGTCAACATTCTAGGATCAAACGCTGACT